TTAAAAAAATTCCTGCTCAAAACACACTTTCAAATGTTCTCTGATTAAAATTGCCGGGTTTATTTTGTTTGTACCATCTGTTAATGCAATCATGTAAAGTTCTATGATTTTGTGTCAGTGAGTTAATTCTCCTGAGTGCTGAACCAAAGGGGACTATAGACTTAGAGAATGAGCAAGAAATGAGGTGTATCTAATGATATGTCACAGGAAATAGCCGCGCTACCAGAACTATCCATGAGCTAGACACATGCTCTGCCAGATGTGATTTTGGACAGTAATCTTCACGACTGGTATTTTCTTAGTAAGTCTACAGATATGTTCCCTATTGCCTCTTGTCCATCTTCTCCCACTTAAAAACTACACTCTGCAGTCAAGTTTATAGTGGAAATAATTTGCCACATGGTATTGAATCATTAAATCTCATCTACAGAGTAGTTTTCATGTGAAAAAAAGCGTACTAAACATATTGTGGTTCTATTGTTTCTTTTCTAATGGATAGCTACTATATTTACTTTTTGAATCTACTTGCGGGGTAACTTTTATGTCAATCCATAAATCCATAACTTCATTTGAAGAGCCAACCTGGGACCGTAAAAAAAAAGGAAAGAACAAATCATTTTCACTTCCTTGTCTATCAGCACAAATCCTCTTGAAAGTACCCTTTCAATCAAGGGACCCAACAGAAGCTCAGTTTCCTCAGCAAATGGAATACTGAAATGTACAGTTTAAAAGGGTGAGTACTGTGAGTGGAAAAGGGGAGTAATGGAGTGACCTGTGGAGACACCCCAAGCCTGGAAACACACAGCACCACGTCTTTACTGGTACAGAGATATGCGTGTATCCCTGTCAAACTGAAAAGCCAAGGAAATGGAAGGCTTTGGCTTCCTGCTAGTGGGGACAAGGACTGGAAATATTTTATTGCGAAGTGACTGAAACTGAGTCAGAGGTTTAGCACTTAGCCGGCAAGCAACAGCGGCTTAGAGAAAATGGATCAAGATTTTCACCCTTGGGTTCCTCCAGCCTTGACACAATGACAACTAAAAATTTTAAATAGTTTTCATGGATTCAGATGACTCTGAAAAGTTTTATCTTAAAAATATGATAGTGGATGTGTCCCGTAAGAAAAATGACTGGGGAAATACATCATCCAAATGATATAGAAATGCCCCAGAAACTACATATAGATTGCTCTAAGAAAACAGAACCAATTTTCCTTAGGAGATTGAATAGAAATATGGAATAGACCCAGCTTCATTTAATACCCATGGAGTTCATGTGAAAATGTAATTAAGAAGACTGGGGATGGAGAATAAGAAAAGATAAGAGGCACAAAATGGTCCTTTACAGCTTCCTTGGAAGGTCACAGCCCACTTTTTATAGCACAATATGAAGTACAAGGTTAAAGTGGGTTTTCTAAGATTTGGCTCGACTCCAGAAGTCTCTCTTTAATGTTGTTTGCAAAATTTATACGAAAGGCAGATTTATGAACACTGCTAGAGGACAGATATTTCTCTTCTTACTCATAGAAAAGAGCTTTATTATTTTGGTACAGTTGCTAAGCAAAATTAAGCTTGAGTTTGGGCTGTAGATTCTTGATTATATCTACAGTAACATTGTGTTTATTTAGAAACAATGAGTCTTCTGATTTAAAATCATAAAATCCCAGGGTCATATAAGACTTTTCTCATTTCCATGGCATTATCGAGGCCTTATGGAAGTCTCACCTCTAAAATTCTATGCTAGCATGTTTACGCTTTCTGTAGTTTAAAAAACACTGTATATCACCTCTATAAAGAATTCAGGCTGGAATATTAGTTGAGAGAACAGATTCTAGGGTCAAACTACCTGAGTTTGAATTGTGACTCTTACTGGTGTTGAGGCCTTGGGCAAGTTCCCTCGGGCTTAGTTACCCCATGTGTGAGCTGAGAATCATAACAGGTCCTACCTTGTAGGGGTGTGGTGCAGATTAAATGAGATAATACATGTGAAGCATTTGGCAGCCTGCTGGCATATAGCAAGGAAAAACCTCCCTTACTGTCTTGCAGACAGTTAAGACAACACCCTGGAGATTCGTGCTGTCCAGGCTGAGCATGTAGAGGCGGTCATCTATTTCTCCACATCCTAATTCCTTCTCCATTTTCCTTCCCCTGACTTTCTACGCCTTCCTCATGTTCTCCATTTCTTAAGTGGTATTCCTCTAATGAGCACAGAAGGTTCTGGTCAATGTCAAATGTTTTGACTTGATTACCTGCTTCGTTTGTGTCATCACACATTAAGCACCTCTTCACATGAGTTCATTGAGGATTAATGCCCCACAGATCGGAACAGACAGAAAACAAGAGAATGGACACAAAAGAGAAAAAAATGGATGGACTGAGTAGCTGGAGGGATAAGGACAAAACCAAAAAGGAAAGAAACAGCAGGACTTGTGAAAGCAGGTGAACCCATAGCTGATTTGGATGCTTATAGCCACAAAAGCAGCATTTACCAGCATTGGTCCAGCTGGAGCATTGGTCCCAAGATGATCAGCCCACAAGTGGTTTCTTGGTCAATAGAGTGTGTTGAAAATATTTCACACCAAGTTTACCTCTTGGAGTCTCAATGCACATGAACATATTAAAGATTCTGAGAGGTACTGTTGTAAAGAAACCTGCTTTATTTTGTTTATCTCATAATACTGTTTGTTCAGTACAAAACGCTGATCCAGATCATTTGGAGAATCCTCCCACTATTATTATTTTAGAACTGGGAAACAAGAATATCCATAAATAAAGAGCACATTTGGAGGTACTAATGAACCATGATGAAGCTGATGGGAAGAAAAATGGGACTGACATTTACTGAGTGCCTATTATGCATGTAAGAAGTGTGCTGTTTTAAAAGTATTTGCTCTTTCCCTGTAAGGTTAAGGTAATGTTTTTTTAATGGGAGGGATATTTACAGTGCTTCATGAAAGAATGTCATGGCACATAATAGCTGTCCTTAGTGGGGACAAAAATCACTCTTTAATGAAGGATCTTGAGAACTCACATAGCTTGTATTCACAATAATATGTCTCTTACATTTACTGAGAAATTTGGAGATGTTAGTCTCTCTAGCTTCACTTCCCTGGAATGTGAGTAGCATTATATACATACCTGTGAACTAGTCCTGATTCTGCTACTTGTTGTATTTGTAATCTTGAGTAACATACTCCTCTGAGCTTATGTAAATACTGGAAAAATAAGAATATCTAACCTAAGTTTGTGAGGTTTATACTCACAAACCACAGGTTTATAACAGGTGCTTTAAGAAATGTCAATCCCTGGGCCGACCGAGTGGCGCGATGGTTAAGAACTGGCTTGGGACGCCAGAGGGCCCCGGCTCGGATCCCACATATGAGGGTCAGTGACACTGCCCTCTACAGCTAAGATGCTGAACAACAGCTCAACCTGGAGCTGGGCTGCCGTGAGCCACCAGCGACGGCGTAGGCTGCAGCCCCTGTGGCAGTGGGTTGCCATGGGCTACCGTGTGTAGCCAGCAGCCAGCGCAAGCGGCCAGCAGCCGCAGTGAGCAGGCTGTCTAGAAGCCTGCGACTGATAAAAACAAACAAACAAACAAACAAAACAAAACAATACAAACAAAAAAATGTCAATCCCTTAATCTACTATCCTTATTCTTGTATTCATTGATGAGAATATTTTTCTGTTGCACAAATGCTAGACCAGGTTTGGTGGAGCCCATAAAATAATATGGGCTTCTACTTTCAACACCTAACACTTCTTATTTAAATATTACCATATTGTGTGTATATGTTTGTAGGACCAGCATATAATTAATATAAGTATATGTGAAAATTATATAAAATAACAGTGTATGTATTTATTGTTAAAGGAAAGAACTACATTTTATTCATTATTTATTTTCCTCAAGCCATCTATTCGTCTAGTACTAGGTGCATAGTATTTAGTATGTCTTGTGAAATGAATGAATAGAAATAGTAGTGGTAAATTGCACTAAAATTATGCTTATTTTATCCAATATAATATAACAAATGTAACTTAATAATAGGAGATTTTGCACTGGGGAACTAGCCAGGATGGAGTCAGATTGCAATTTTTGATATTTGGTGCTAAATTTCTGATAACTTTACAAACAGCCTATGCTTACTACTCAATTTCAGCTGAGATGGGAGCCAGAAAATTCACTAACAAGGCTGCCATGTTAGAAATAAGAATTATTTTATGAAATTGGATCTGGGTCAGTTCTTTTTGCAAGAAATTTGAATTTCCCTTCAAATAAATTGAATGTTAATATGTTTGGTTTATACCAACCCTTATTTTCTTTCTCCTCTTGTTTTTCATCCTCATGCAACAGAAAATAAAAAACTACTTCTTTTGTTTTCCTGAAATGTTTATGTATCATTAAGAATGAAGCATTGTGAGGTGAAATTGGGGTCAGGAAAGAGGCAATACTGCACAATAACAGCTATTAATTTTGTGGAGAATAACAGCTCTTAATTTCAATCATAAGTGTAGGCAGATGCAAAACAACAGCCATAAAATATGAGATTTCCCTTCCTTTCTTGTGCACATTTGCCCAAGTGAGACTGAACTCTGGGACACTTTTTTATACTTACATGAACAAAAATAGACCAAAATGAGTTAGAAATTGAAACATGCTGTTGACTGTATTTTGGGTATGTTTACAGGTCGTATTAATGGAAATGAAAGTGACCTGTATTAAGGGTATCCAGGCACTCCATTAGTCACACATCTCAACCGACATGCCCCTTTATATTATCATCTCCTCTCCCTTTTTAGCCTGTTTTCTGTGTTTATCTCTTAAATCTGTATCTTGGTACTCAAACCTGGAATGTAGCATTTTACTTCTTCATGATTTGAAAAGATAATAATGGATTTCTGGTATGTTCAACACATCTAAATGTTCTCTGCATCTTATCAGAGATTACAGAAAGGGGAGGATGTGTAACATAAACTGAAGAGTGTCCTCTCTTGTAGGAATGGAATTCCACTGTTGAGGGGCTGAAGAGTGAGGCACTTGAGATCCTGCTGTCCAAGGACCATGTGGAGAGAGAACACCTACAGGTCTCTAACCAGAAACTGAATCGGCTTCAAGAAGAATTTGGTCAGCTCATCGTGGAAAGGAATACCTGGTTAAAAAAGGCAAATGAGTTTTTTAACAGCGCTAACAAGGTCAGTGTGAGGTCAAGTTGGTAATTTTAGGTAAACAGGGCATACCAGTAAGAGACCTGTGACTTCAGCAGGCTGCAGCACATCACAGAAATCGAGATTTTTACTTTGAGTTTCAAAATTGATGGCAGCAAAGGGGAGCTTTTAAAATATATTCCTGCCATGGCTATTATTTGGTTCTCAAAACTAAGAGACTAGGCATTTTGAGGGTCACTTAAAAAAAAAGTCCCCCACGAGAGTTTTATCTTAAAGCTGTCATTGGTCTGATTTGTATTCACCATTGTAGAGTTTCTCATGGAGGAAGGGAATTATTATAAAATATACCAAGGTTAAAACAACCCTTGAAACTTTTACCAAAAAGTCTTTCACTTTTTTAATCCTCTTTTATGTATCAGGTAAAAATCCATGAATGTTGTTAAGTCTTCTGCATGCAAACCATTAGGCTAAACAACCTAGACCTGACCTGTTTGCCTTGCTCTTGCGTTTTGAAGTCAGCGAAAGGAAAACCTTGCTTTGGGCCATCTCCAGGTCCTCTGGAGTTGGAGAAGTGCTTCTCTTCTTCTGGTTGAATCATTTACTATTGATCGTCATCGTGGGTGGCCCCTGCTGTATGATAATGTTCACTTGTTCACGTCACTTGAGTAGAGCTCAGCATTTGGGGCTGATGACCTCATCTGAAAATGTTTCTACCTTTCCCAATCTAATAATATCTTCACACTGCCTTATTGGAATTGTTTAATACCTTAAGTTTCACTGATATTTTAAAAACTGGACATTGTAACAAGAAATGAATAGGGAGCCCCAGAAGCTAGGTATAATGTGATTTAAAGTCATGACATCAAAACTCTGAAAACAATGTCCTGGTAGATATCAAAATAGTTGCTTAATTTTGAGCTTCTTTACTAATAGGAAACTTTTTGAAAAGGATGAATAATAAAATTCCAAAATAGAGGTGCTAGAGTTATGTTAAAAAAATGTTAAAGCGATATTTATTGTCAAAGTGTTTGTTGCTTGGGGATTCTTTGTTTTAAAAGAAGAAACAAACATACGGGTACTTATCACTGGAGCCACTGACCTAAGTAGATGGTAAGCACTAGTTAAGTTTCTCTTCAGCAGTTTCGTCTTTGAAGAAGAGACTTCTTAACTGACATTACACCCTCATGCTACAAAATGAGTGGGCCATCTGCCAACTGGTTAATGTTGTTTATAAGCAAAACAGTTAAAGGACCTGCTGCTGTACAGTAAAACAATGCTTCTAGTACAAACCTATATAGTTTATAGCCTTGTAAAATGTAGAATTTTTTTTTTCCTCTCTGCCTCTTTTTTATTCTCACTGTCTGGCTCTTTCTTTCTCTGCTCTCACTATTTGGTACCTTGCCAGGGAGATTTTTCTTCTAGTATTATCCTTAGGTTTGAGGGAGAATGATATCTTTTGCAATAGTAATTTAAAAAAAAAAAAGAATAACAAAGTGGTTATCTTCTCAAACTTAGATTCTAATTCAAGTCAGATCCTGAAAACTCATTTTGCTTAACTCCAAAGACTTGATTTCTAGGTCCCCTGTTTCAGCATTTGAATGTCATGCCAGTTATAATAAGTTCACTTGGGACTTACCCACATACTGTAGCTTTCTCCATAGCCAAGTGTGCTTAGAACGGTGTAGAATTCTTTCTCTCTTTTCTAAGCATCAAGGAAATAATTTCCAAGTCCAAATCTAAAAATTCAGTGTGAAAGATGATGGATACTTTTACCTCAGCAAAAATAGAAGCTGGAGTTTGGGAGGCAGAGGTTCAATCATGACTCTTAAAAGTAATTAATTAACATATTATTAAGATGCAATAAATGATGAAATAATGTAGTGGGTAAATCCATTTAAAGAAGGAAACTTCTCAAGACTAGTAAGTGGTATTTTTTCATTTTTTATTTATATCATGGAATCTATAAATTTTACAAAATTCTCACTGCTTTATCCGATTTTTGGCATAGCATTCATAAATAACCCTAGTTAAAATAAAGCACAAGGTTTAAAATGTTAATATAATTTCAGAGTTCCTTAAAATATTTTTTATGGTCTGAAAGTTCTGTTTACACTAGTGAATGGGGCATTTTCAGTTTACATCGTCAATTTCTCTCCAGAGCATTGAATTGTCCTTTTGAAAATTCACTTCACTGTGCCTTGAGTGTGCTGGGTTTTTTTCTAATTGTGAGCATCACCATCTCTAGATGAAATTGTGCTGCCAGCACTGTGAGGCTTTTGAGATTTCACCCAACTTTCTAGCTAACGTGTCATGGTTTCATGGATGCTCACAGAAGACACATGACTTCTGAATCAGCTTTGAAAGGCTTTATTAGTCCCAGCAAAAGCAGTAATCAGAGTGTCACATGTCACAGCAGTCCCCCAAACCCCAATTCCCAGGGGGTGATGCAGATAGGCCCAGATGGATGGTTGCACCTACTGCAGGTGGTGGTGTTCAGGGGAGGAATCCTAAACTTGGGGAATCAGCTGTTGTAAAGTAAGCTGCAGACAAGGCCACTCTGTCTCAGAGAAAGATGTTTGTCCCTCAACCATGAAGGTTACTGGCTGAAAACCCGTTCTGAGATATGGCCCAGGTAAAGAGGGGTCAGGGTCAGGCATTCCTGGCATACCAGTAAGATGGGTAGGAACACTAAAAACTCTCCCCACACATGCAAATCTGTATGTTAGTGCTGGGAAACAAAGAGGAAGTCAGCGCTTCAAAAAAAAGATACCCTGAAAACCAATTCCACTCTTGATAAGTGGAATTATGTTTTAGCAAACAACCTCTTGTTACAAATTTGTCAAAGGTAGGTCAATATTCTTCTTCAATTTCTGTGTCAAATACTGGTATGAAAAGTGTGTTAGTGTCATGAGTAACATATGAATAAGTGTGACAGCTTGGGTGTTTGTTCAGTACAAAGAAAAATATATGATTTGAAAAATAATCTTTTACTTTGTTTGAATTTTGTTAAAAGGAATGAATGTCACAATCTCATTTGCAGAATGGACTGTTGACAGTAGGTTTTTCATATCATATGTATTCTTTTTTCATTCAGATTTTTTTAATCATGTATTTCTGGTATTTTTGTTGTAATCATCTGGAAGTCCCCCTTTGCCTCCTTTGCTTTTATTTTCATTTATTTCTCTCTGTACTAATTCTAGATAGGGTTATTCTTATTTACTAGAAACAAAGACACAATAATTCCTTTCATTGAAATTGCTGAATAGTATGATGAATTCATGAAAATAATTACCCGTCTTCTTTAGTGATTCATTTATTTAATAAATATTTATTGAGCAACTACTGTGTGTTAGGCACTGTTCTAAATGCTGTGGATGCAATAGAGAACAAAACAAAAAATCTATGAGCCAATATGTTTCCAATTTGTGAAATTCAGTAAATATAGTTATCTCCTAATTGTCCTCATTGGTAACAGTGCCTTTGATTCTCTTTTAAACCTGCTAGGGGTTGATGATTGCCCAAGGCTCAAAATTCTCTTTTTTTACTCAGAGAGTGTCTATAGCCTTTGGCTTCAGGTGGGGCAGTTTGTACCTGGAGTGAGCAGTAGGTGGCGATGTTAGCACGCAGGACCTTGGGAGTATTGCTTTTCATAAGCCAGCCACTGGATTCAAGCGCACATTGGGCCATATAACTCAAGAACCTGAAATACTTTGTTTTCATTTTAGTTATCTACTGTGTTTGGGGATCCTATTTGCTCGATCACTCAGCAACAAATAGAGGCAGGGGTTGATTGTCAACAATGAAGGATAGCTTATTGGAGAAGAGTTTCTGTAATTACCAGAGGTTGCTAAGAGTTATGAGGGCATGACGTGAAATATGAACATAGCACCTATCATAGTAACTCACCTTGACCTCCCCCCATATTTTCATCTTTTGTGATTATATATTATCTTTTTATTACATTTCTGTCATATTCACAAAAAGGAAGCTCGTGTTAATATGTGTTGATTACCCAAAATGTATTTATCATTGTTTGGGGAATGTGGTTTGAATCAGAGATAAACATATGTAGTATGTTTCTAGAGCAGAACAGTGTGAATCTGTGTTGATATGACAATGATGATTGAACCAAAAGCTGTAAAACATGGCTGATTAGTCATAAAGTTTCGTGTCACAGGCTTTCCAATCCCCCAGCGCATGATCTCATTGGGGAAATCAAGCAGAGGAGAGAGGCCAAATCTCCATGGTCTAGTTCTTGGGTGGTCAGCCTGAAAGCAGGGGTGAAGCAAAAGTGGGCCAGCCAGGGGAACACACCAAAGGCAGTTTAAAATGTAGTGACTATCATGGTTTCTGCTGCTTATGCCATCGCTGATGAAAAGTTAATGTCTCTTGAAAAAGATGATGTTGCTTTTTCAAGATATTTATAGTGATGCAAAACAGTAATTCCTACAGCAGCGTTATTGTTTGAACAACAGATGAAAACAAAATGAGCATGGAATTTTAGTACATTTTTTAAAATTTATGTATACACTATTCTACCGTTTTCAAAATGCAGAGGGTGCAAAAAAATGTATACACATTTTAAGAAAGGAAAAAAACTATTAAAATTTTGCTAATGGTAACCACTTTGAGCACCTCTTGTAATTGCAGAAGGCAAATGTGACTTGCATTCATCTTTTGTTATCGATATATATTATTACAATTTTAATACAGTTTTTTACTTTCTTAAAATGTGTATTTTTTTGGCACCCTCTATAGATAGATGTGGGGAACAATTAATTAAAATGTTGCAGTTATTGTACCAATTGAAAGAAGAAACATGTTCAAGTAGAGGACCTAAAATCTATTATCCAAAAGGAATTTGAGGTGATATAAATGAATTCAAGAAATTAAGCTGTCATTAAAAATGGGGAAAAGGAAAGTGTACATAATCACTTTCAGTTTCATAATTCTTGAGCAGCCTGTCTCTGATTTCTTATTTCTAGAACACCTTCCCTTTCTCTTCGAAAAAAATTAAAGCAACTTGC